GTGATTGATAAATGTGAATCTCATGGGGAGGGGGGGGGGGAGTAGAGAATAACATGAAGCCTCAGCAATAGGGATGGGAAGATAAACATTGGACCCATTGAATCTCATCATTCAAAGCCCTGGAAGAAAGCCTAAAATGAAAACTAGTAGGAAAAACTAAACTTACAAATAAAAGTGATCAAGCAAGAGATGTAAGGTGGTGGATAAATCCACTCCATAACTGTCAATTTGACATAGATAAACCTCTGTCTAAAGGCCACGTAAAAAACAGTGAGGTTGGGCAGAATAGGAAAACTTGATGAAAGGAAGTGGCAAAGGGACTAGTGGTGGTAAATGATCCGTTTGCACTAATGAAAGGCCAGCAGGAACGAGACAGAAAATAAAACAAATTGCCCTATGTAAAAAGCTTAACAGTTGCATAAGGGAAAAGCCCACATGTAAAACTGAATGTATGACACCCCATCATGAAGGATTTCTGTGGTTGACATTGAAGGGAACTCCAAACAAGGAAGTGGAAGAGGCTCCATGGATGTCAAATGGCAGATTAGTCGAGACTACACCTGAGCCAGCCAAAGAAAAGCAATTAGAAGGGTCTAGCAAGGTATATCCCACATTGGTAGACAAGATATGAAGAAGAATGCAAAAATAAGGATAGACATAAAGAAAGAGGTTGGACCAATCCTGGCTTAGAACATCAACAGCCAGGTATGCAAAGGAAGTCGAGACTAAAAGTGAGGAAGTTTGGCATTTAGGAGACTTGCAAAAGCATTGATTAGATGATTTTCAAAATAAAAACAAGTTCACTCAAATGTCAAAGGATAAAGGGACCACTCCATGGGAAAGATTTTGCTCAATGAGAAGAGATCCCCCCCATCTGTCACCAAGTTCAAAGCCCCCAGGACATGATAGGCCAATAACTGAATTAAGTGGTCCAGGGCCCAAAATAAAAATTCCAGAGTGAGAAAACACAGGTCCCAAGAATGAATGCCACCCTGATGGATGACTTGAGATGCATCCATAAAATCCAGATGAATCATGAACTGAGAAGTGGGCAGCATGTTAAGCATCCAAAATTTTCAGGACATTGATATGAAGAGACTGTACCTCTGGAGAACAAACTCTTGAAATGAAGGAGGCGTAGAGTATCTTTCCCCATCTAGAAGAAAAAGCATCTGTTTACAGATGCAAGTCAAGTTAAGGAAGGGAATATATAGAGTTGTGCTTGAGTCACCAGAATAGAAATGGATGGCGAGTTATAAGGGCTAACAAGTAGTCCACTGAAAGGAATGCATATGGATGTGTCTGAGATTAATAAGGAACTCGAGGGAAACCAGAGAACCTCTCACACAGATAGAGTAGGCTTGTAGATGCAAAAGTGATGTTGAGCTCACCCCAATTGAGAAAGTCACCCAGATAGACCAGTTATTGAGTGAGGGTCAAGACAGACTTAGAGCTTTTGACCAGCCAATCCAGATGAGACATTTCCCAAAGGAGGATGGAATTTGCCTCCACAGAAGCTCTTTGAGACAGAGCTAGCACAAACTAATCATCTATACAATACTAGAAGTAAAGACCCAAAGAATGCATCTACCAAGTAAATGTTTACAGAACACGACTGAACATGTAAGGGGCTGAGGCAAAGCCGAAGGGAAGGGTCCAGTACTGAACAACCTAATTGTTGTGGACAAACCAGAGGAAACATGGGGCACAGACTAATTAGGAAATTAAGAAATACATTAGAAACATTGACTTTGGTTATCCACAACTTGTGAAAGAATGCCCAAAAAGTAGATCAAAAACAATAAATCAATGATAGATGACCAGCATAAGGTCTTCTTTGGGAATAAAAACCCAGAGTGTGAAGAGAAAACCATTCTTACATCTTCCATAGCCAGTAGAGAGGATGCAGCCTCCTTGAGATTCTGAAGATGTATTAGATCAGAAGGAAATTGAAAAATGGCTAGACAAGGAGAAAGTCAAGGGGGGGAAGCATGGGAATAGATCACAAGAAAGCACTGACATGATACAAAAATCATTGGCAAAGGAAGTTCAAAAGTGCACAAATAGGGAGAATTAAACTCTCACAGGACCGGAGCTGAGAGGCAGCACACATGACAAGTCATCTCTTCAAACCATGATGGCCAGCTATTCAAGAGGATGAGCCTAAGAAGGGCAATAGGACAAGGTAAAAGAGAGAGAGCAACCCCACATGACTCCCAAGGACAGGGAACCTGTTGAGGCACCCACAATGTGGTAAGGCAGAATAACCGAAGAAGTCTGCTGGTGAGCAGCTTCAGCCCAAGATTCCAAAGAATCAGGAACACCTCCAAAGATTTCATAATGAAGTAAATGAGCAAGGTGGAGGTCTCAGAGATAAGCACACATATTAGAGGAAGGAATCCAAACCAATTAAACCCCAAAAAACAAAAAAAGACATCAAGAAGGTCAGAGCAGAATGAGCATCTCCATCAAAACTATCAAGGTCAATGGAGAGTTTCGAAGAGAAGTTGAGGCACAGACAAACAGCAAAGAAGCTGCAAGGTGGTAAGATGAAGGCTAGTAGATTATAAGTAAGAGACAAAGTAGAAGTGGGTGGCACCCAAAGTAAGAACTAGAAGCTCATGGACTGAGGTTTAAGAAAAAAAGAAGGATCATGACTATCTGATATAAAAAGGTCACAATGGTGAGAAGGTTGAGGATGACATGGATCAGGAAGTAGTTGGAACAGTGAAGTATCAGCATGTCTAGATGATGGGGGGGGGGGGGGCAGATGACAAAGGCTCATAAACTAAAGTAACCCAAGACTCATCAAAAGATATTGTAGAAAGAATATCATTGACTAAGACAAATGAAATTATCAACACCAATATAAAACAACTAACAACTCAAGGTAAAAGATGAAATTGCCACACATATCCCCCTAAGAATAAACTCATGGAATTACTATGAATGGAGGATGTGTTGCCCTTCTATTGGTGGAGGGCTATTTTCCAAAGAATAGCCTTATGGTTCTACAGTACACCTTATGACTAGCTATAAAGGAATAATCATCAATTCCTCTTTCTTAGTTTTTATCACTGTTTAACAAATGACAAGATGATAACCTACCTTTACTTTTGCATCAAAAATATAACAACATTAAACCATTTTAATGATTTAACTGTTTCAATAAGTCTCAAATGTCTACTGTGTGTGTAACTGAATATTAGCGCAAACACATCATGTATTTAATGTCTTTAGTGTTCCAAAATTCATTTATATCCACATATACTCTGATGGTACTGAAGCAACAGGCACTACCATCTTGCTGACCAAAATAAAAATGTACTCTGTATAGTTAGATACATTTACAAACCTTTTCGTCTCTTAATTGCAAAATACATCTTCAACACAAGCCCTGTCTGGATTTAACCAACAAACTGACTATTGACTCTGAAATTTCACTAGCCAAAATGAAAAAAAAAAAAGCCAGTGCTGGATGAATTAACTCAGCATTGGAATCTTTTCCTGTAGTAAAAATAATTTAAATTTTTTATTTTTTTAAACAAAAGAAATTCAAAGCAAGCCTACAAAAGACCTTCAAATGTTGGATATTTGTTTACATAAGCTGTTGTCAAGAGGTCCTATTTAAAGACAATCATATTTAAGGTATATGGTTCAAAATATATCATGCAGGGTAAAATGTATTTCTATTTTAGACTTGCATGAAGGCTAATGAGTTTTGTTATGATAAATGCTGTTAAAATGCCATTTGTGAATGGGTTGTCTGCTATAGATAATGAATGATAGAAATATAGTTTGGAGATTTTAAGCATCCAGTTAATCACATCTGGTAAAGCTAGGAAGGGTCAATCAATGTTAATGGTATTTGTTACTATCTAATCCAAGACATTTTTTCAGACTGAGGTGTAGTTTGATTTATCCTTTAGGAAGATAAACAGTCACTGCAAAACTGTTAAACAAATGAAATGCAATTTTTAAAGATCCTCACTTGTGCAAGAAGTTTCATGCAAACCATCATTTTAGTGCTAAATTGGTAAAAATAAATAAATTGCAATTAACAATTATCTGTGGCAACCACAGTTATCCCAAGCTAAAGTCCAGGCTTATAAAAGGCATAACTAATTACAAGGGATTGGTTCAAATTGTTGCATCAAATGTTTTGAGGGCATTGGATAACTTTATCCCAGCCTCTCTGAAAAGGGCTGTCAATCTTGTAAGTCTGATAGACTCATTTCAACCCTAATATCACTTTAACTTTATAAAGTTTTGTTTTCTTTAGACCAATCAATCGTTTTTGGAAACCATTCAAATAGCATCCCACTCACTCAGTCTGCATCTCTCTGCTCCACTCCTCGTCAACTGACGTCATTGCCATGTAATAAACATGCTTCCACCACAGCTATCATCATTCGACAGTCTCTTCACAGCTTTCTCAGCATTTTCAGGCTGGCATGTTTCCACATTTTACCAGGCATTTCAAAAAAGCACTCATCGCGTTTAAACAAAATTAAGCCCAGAGGCTTCTTCCACATCCGTTTGTCTTAAACCTATTCACCTTGCGAGATGAAGAGAAACTACAGTTTCTGACCATCCCGGGTTGTCTTTCAGACCCCCAATTTTTCTTTGACACTTGAAAGATCTTACACCTAAATTACTGTCATGGATTGGATAAGGGAAAATAAGTGCAACTTTGGCCACATCTAAAGAAACCAAAGATTTGAGAGTTAATATACATGAGGCAGAATTCTCCATGAACTTTAGTGGCATTTTCTATTTGGAATTACAAACATCCATTCTAGTTTCAAGAGCATATTGTAGAAGAAATCTAGGTATTATGAACTGTAATTAAAATATACCAAGATATAAACTTGTTGTGCAATATCCAAAAACAGCTTTTCCTGAGTTCATGTATTTTCAATCTGTGCAAATGCACACTGTATGACTGTCACAAAAAATAAAAGTCTCAAAAGTTGAACAGAATTTAGATTATTACTTACTGAACATCCGTGGAACATGGTCTCTTGTAGCACAATGGCACGTCAATCTCATACTTTTCCTGGGCTTTGTCATTTCCCATATTTTCCATTAATTCTACTTGTGTTGAATCCCAATTGTCCAGAAAAACAGATTTCACTTTGCTGATGTGAGAACCAAGATTGCGATGAAAACCTGCACACTGAGTGCATATAAATATTCCAATGTTGTATGATGCCCATTCTGGACCTTAAGAAAGATACACAAGATATATATATATATGTCACTTAAGAAGCAACATCAGTACTTATTCTACCACTTGCTATTTCTCTAAAATGCAAGTAAATTACAAGCTTAGCTCACATATACAGAAGCATTTTGTTATATGTAACTCATGCTGGCATATTGATAAATTAGTTCAAGATAATAGTCCCTTTATTCATTTCCATTAATACAGTTTTCCATTACAAGTAAGTTTTTATATATATATATACATAATTTCTGAAAAATGAATAACTTTGATGACATGACCACACTCCAAGTAAGCAATGACATCTACAGTTGCCATTACAGTGGAAACTTGACTTAGTTCTAAGAAATGTTGCCCTGGTTTGTTTACACTTTTGGAACTGACCCTGTGGTATGATTTATGACTTTTTTGAACAAGACTAGATTACAACATTATAATTTACAGCAATACTTGTACTCAATATACCAATTCAAGCATGAATACTGTGCTCAGTTTTATTATTATTATAATTAATAGCACAAAATTTAGACCACTTTTTAATAAACAGTAAAATATACATGTAGAAATTATGGTAAAAAAATCTGTTTAAACTAGTGTTACAATACAATCAATTTTCTAGAACATTTAAGCCATTTAATTTTATTATGTTGTGAATGATACAAAATTTAGAATTCCACTCAATTTTACTTTTAATTAATCAGTCTTTAAAATTGTAGTATTATAATCAAAGTTGTCCAAAGTTTTACATGTAATGTATATACCAAATTATTTTCATTAAGAGATATTAACTTTAAATTCTTAGCTTACAATACCATAGGATCTGCTGTGCATTAGTATTAATTTTTCTACTATAGCAACCCAAAAATACAACTTACAGTAGGTTAGCTGATTTTGGTTCTATGATATATAAGCAAGTTTCACTTTATAT